CTTCCTTCCTTCCTTCCTTCCTTCCTTCCTTCCTTCCTTCCTTCCTTCCTTCCTTCCTTCCTCCCTCCCTCCCTCCCTCCCTCCCTTCATTTTTCTTTCTCTTTCTTTCTTTTCTTTCCTTCCTTCCTTTTCTATTTCTCTCTCTCTCTCTCTCTCTCTCTCTCTCTTTCAACTGAATAACAGCCAATGCAGTTCCAACTTCTCTCCTTTATTTACAGATAGTCATCGACTTACAACAGTTCATGTAGTGACCGTTTGAAGTTACAACAGCACTGGAAAAAAAAAGTTACTTATGACCATTTTTCACGCTTTTGCAGCATTCCCCGGGGTCACAGGGTCAAAATCCAGGCACCTGGCAATCGACTCCTATTTATGACTGTCGCAGTGCCTCGTGGTCCCCTTTTGGGACCTTCCGACAAAGTCAACGGGGGAAGCCAGATCCATTTAACAATTGTAGCAACAAAGGTCATGAAATGAGGTCAAACTCGCTTAACCGTCTAGCTTAGCAGCAGAAACGTTGGGCTCCACTGTGGTCGTAAGTCTAGGACTACCTGGCCGTTGTGGACTATGCATTTATTTGTTAAATTTGTTCACTGCCTGTATCCCCATGGGACAACTCTAGGCGTTTAACAACAACAAAAATTGTGCTTTCGCACAAATATGGAAAACTCCCAATATACCTAGCGAAGAACTAGTCCAACAAAAAATAATGGAAAGCACTGAAATGAATATGCTCACATTGAAAATGAAAGGGGAAGAGGATTCTGAGTATTTTTCAACTTGGCATAAATGGTACGAATGGATAGCGAATAAATATAAGAAATGTAAAGATTAATCTGTAAGAGACCTTAAGAAAACGAACTGTAAATATATAAAATATATAAGACTAACTATTGATAAGGATCTTAATTAGATGTCAAAATGCTGTTGAAATTATGATGATTTGAGTTGTAATGATGGAAATACAATAAAAAGATATTTTAAAAAAATATTGGGTAAACAGAAGCAGAACAATAGAACAATGAAGTGTACAAGGACAAAGGAACACGGCGATAGTAAATCCATCAATGTGATAAATAAGCAAAAAGATGGATAGATGGAGAACAGAGAGCAAGGGGGAGTCAGGTGGAATTTCCCTGCCTGGATACCTGTCCACGCACTCTGGGAAGGTCAAAAAAGTCAAAATGGCACCCATGACACTGATTAAAGCCCTCCTGCCTTTGCAAAAGGCTTTCTTTGATGGTGTGATTTCTGCGGGCCTCTCGACTCTTTAACTCTCTCTGCATCTGCTCGATTTTAATAAAAGGGCCGAATTTTTCACTAGAGTGGCTTATTTTTAGCAGAAACTGTATCTCCTATGGCCCTAACTTCAGACAGCTGTGATAATATTAAAATTCTTCAGCAGAGCCACCCTGTCTGCTGTTGGAATCCAGTGGCTTCAAAACGGGTATAACTAAAATGTTTAATGAATGCTAAGAGGCACCAGCCATGCTTTGCATTCTGGAATTAGTAGAGCATCATCTTAATCAGCAAAGAATGGATTTTTAGAGGCTTCCGACAAGCAAAAAGCTTTGTTTGCCTTCTGGGCAAACAAAAACACAAAACTCTTACGTAAAGCACCTAGAGTTTCTCCGGATCGATCAATCGCACACATTTGGTTGAAGGTCTCTAAAGCTAAAACAAAAGTTCACAAAAGTTCACATTTTATTTCTGCAAGTGATGCAGAGCTTCAGATTTAACGCTGTCACAGTTAATCGTCCTACATGTTTGAACTCAGGTGGGTTGCGCCAAGTGGCTGTTCGATTAATGCAATATTTGAATTTGTGCAAATTGTTAAATTGATACCGAGTGGTGTGGTGGTGTAGAGATGGAAGCTCTCGCCTCACAATCAGGAGGCTGTGAGTTCGATCCCAGGGGGAGGCAGATATTTCTCTCTCTGGGCACAGTGAAAATGTGTCTGCCGAACAAAACTCCACCTTGGCAACAGGAAGGGCATCCGGCCAGGAAAAACACTCTGCTAGCTCCATTCAGTTGCCCGGACTCCACCCCGCAAGGGATTATGGAGTTGTTAAATGAAGAGGATGATGTTAAATCGATATCGGGTCGTAGTTAATGCAAGCCAAAATTCAGTTCAGAGCGAGCCTGGTATGTGTGACATTGAGGTTGATGGTTGGGCAGTTGTGGTTGTGGTTTTAGACGCTTTGTGTGCACCAAATAGAGAAAAGGAAGATCCCGTCAGTGGAGGTTTAACACAGGGGCTTTGTGCTTTGGAGAATAGGTGGACCCCCTCCCATTCTTTGTGGCATCCCCTAAAATATTGCAACAGTGCTATCATGTCCCCCCATATCCTTCTTTTTGTTAGACTAGACCTACCCAGTTCCTGCAACCGTTCTTCGTATGTTTTAGCCTCCAGTCCCCTAATTAATCTTTGTTGCTCTTCTCTGCCCTCTTTCTAGAGTCTCAACATCGTTTTTACACCGTGGCGACCAAAAAGGGATGCAATACAGGTAGTCCTTGAGTTACAACAGTTCGTTTAGTGACCGTTTGAAATTACAATGCTGAAAAAAGCGACTTACGACTGTTTTTCACACTTCACGCAACGGTTACAGCATCCCCATAAGTCACGGGATCAAAATTTGGAGGCTTGGCAACTGGCATGTACTGAGGACGGTTGCAGTGTCCCAAGGGGGGGTCACGTAATCCCTTTTTGCAACGTTCTGACGAGTGAAGTCAAATGGGGAAGCTGCATTCATCAACGGTGTTACTACTGCAATAATTCCCTTAACAACTGTGGCCAAGAAAGGTCATATAATATGGGGTAAAATTCACTTAGCCACTGTCTCATTTAGCAGCAGAAATTTTGGGCTCTCCAGTTGTAAGTCGAGGACTGCCTGTACTCCCAAGTGTGGTCTTACTAAAGCTTTGCAAATTGGTACTAACCCTTCACACGATCTTGATTCTATCCCTCCGTTAACACAGCCTGGAACTCCAGACATACGACATGCTTGTGGGCTAATTCTCACATTTAATGTGGGCATTTTAGGTTTTTGTTCTTTGTTTGACTCCCTCCTCGTTCCTTCCGCCCCAGTTGGAGTGCTCAGCCCCTAATTGGCTGTGTAAATAAAAGACTGGATATATAAGTATTAACTGAATGTGATTATTAGCTAAGATGCTGCTTATGTTTGGCGGTCGCTCTTGGTGGGTGACTTTCGAACACCTTCAAGTTCTTACACTTTTGAGAAAGTCTTAATTACAGCGGTGGCACCAATCCTTAATCTACTTCTAGCTTTAAATCACCGCTCTCTGAGCATTTATATCATCTAGGCAATAGATGATGCTTTTTGCGGGAGCCGAAGCTGAGAGAGAATCGTTTATTTGAGATCAGGATTAAAACCAGAATTCGAAGTTGCCTGGTCTCTGCAACACCCTGACGTTTGATCCAAGGAGTAACCCTCTTTGTAGGGACTCACTGCTTGCTTCACGCTGACTCATTCTGCTTTATCCCAAAGGCAGACAGGTAATTCATTGTTATCAAGGGGCGGCCCTTAAAAGACCACCCAGAAGCTTCAACTGGTCCAGCGTACGGTGGCACAAGCAACAATGGGTGAGCTTCAAAAGGCCTTTGTAAGATTGTTGTGCTGCTCATTGCTTTGTTTCCAGGTGTTGGTTGTCACCCAGAAAGCCTAACATGGCATAGGCCTGCTTATTGAGGGGCTGCCTGTCCCCATAACATCCAATTTGATCCCACAGAGTTCCTTGGATTAAGCAATGCCATGGCTGTCTCAAAGGTGCTTTTTTCCAGGCGCAACCGGACTTCCTTGTTTTTGCTCGAAGAGGTTTCACTTCTCCTCCAAGAAGCTTCTTCAGTTTCTGACTGAATGGTGGAGAACGGAAGGGTTTAGTGTATTCATCTGGTTATTAGCACTCCGTGGACCAAGAGGATCTTGAGGAACATACTAACTAAAACCTTCCATTCTCCACCATTCAGTCAGAACTGAAGAAGCTTCTTGGAGGAGAAGCAAAACATTTTCAAAGGAAAAAACAAGAAACTCCAGTTGGAAAAGCACCTTTGGGAGAACCACAATTTGGTTGATTGGAAATCCCTGCAAACTTAACTTTTTATGTCATATTGTGTGGCGGAATCGCTGGCTGAAGGAGATAAGGGAATAAAGAAATGTGCCAATATGGAGTTGCTCTGTGGGAGAATAAGCCAGACTAGGGAAGCCCTGATCTGCCTGTTCCCAAGAGAATGCAGAGAATGGCAAGATTCTTGTAAAAGAAGTGATCGACAATAAAGACGTTACTTTGGCCTGTTCACTGAGTTGTTCTGGTTCCCTGTGCCTGATATATTTGATTTTACTGAAACTGTGAGACGCCCAGGGTCATTGAGAGTTTGGGTGGTGAAACAGTTTAAAAATCATCATCATCATCCTATTAGCTTGAGAAACTCTTTATATGTTAAGATATGTAATTTAATAGCTGGAACAGTAAAGTGTACAATGGGCCTGAACACACTGTCATAATTGATTGGTTGGAGAATGTGGGGCTCCCACCTGAGGCAATCTATGTTATGATTGGTTGCAGGGTGACCCATCACTCTGTCATGAGGTAAATTGTGAGGTAAATCACAGAACAGCATACAGAGCACACAGAAGAAAAAAGGCGGGAAAAGAGGGGGAGTTTCCCTTCCCCCCCCCGCCTTCTGTGTGTGCCCTGTATGCTGTTCTGTGATTTACCTCATGATGGAGTGATGTGCCTGACTTATCTTGTCTGCTGTTAATATGGACGCTAAATATATTTATTTATATAGACTACTGGTTCATGTCAGCGTCTCTAACTCCATTTGGACACCTGCTGCACAATTCCCTGACATTATGTCTCCTTGCCCTGTCAGAGAGACCTGGGATTTATTCATTCAACCTGGTTTAAATGCCACCAGAATTTCTCCCACTTACCTGACGTTGCTTTGCACATGGGAGGCATCCTGGTTACCTTACTGTGCGCCACGAAGGTGCTTTGAGAGGAGCTACTGTACTGGGAGCTGCTATCCGACGAAGTGGAGCTTGTGTGCGACAACCGGCTGTGGTCTTTGTGGGTGGCCGTGGACCGCTGGTACCATAGTCTGAGTTCATCCGAGACCACAGTCCTCCCCGATCCCTTTTCGTGGCCGTCTCTCCCCAGTGAAGGAGTCCTTATGATCTGAGACCGGGAAGGAGTCAACCGGATGGAGTCCACTTCATCTCCGTGCCAGTTTTCCTTAAACATGCCCCCTGCCGTGTACGAATTGGACGTTTTAAACTGTGCTTTCACGCTGTAGTGTCCCTCCTGGTCGTTTTCGAGGCTACGCACCACCACCGGTGTCGAGCTCCCTTCGATGTACAGCGGATACTCTTTGATCCTGTACTGGGAGGAAGGCTGGCTTTGGCTGTGCAGGTAGACACCGTGATGGCCGTTCCCGTTCCCGTTCCCGGCAGCCAGGTTGGGCATGCTTCCTGAATTGGAGCAGACGAGGTTTCCGGCTGACTTGTGCCGCTGTCTCTGGCGCTCGCGAGCTTTGGAGGGTGAGTCCTCTGCCAGGGTGGAGTAATTTGCATTCATCTGAGCCGGGTAGTAATGCTCGGAGCTGGAGTGGCTCGTACAGGAGGAACAGTCATCCATGGGGTCTGACCCATTACTGCTACGAGTCCTTGGGGTGTAGAAGTCAGGGCTCCCCGTCTCGTTTTCCGAGCCGAGAAGCTTTCCTTGTGACTCTAAACTAGAACTCCGGTGTCTAAAGTGCTGAACTAAACAATGCAGCCTGGTAGGACTGATGTCCACCGATCTGTAAGGCCAGAGAAACAGAGAGGAGGAAAACGAATTAAGACTTTAAACATCGCTACAGGGGGAAATCTCTTGGTGGAAATTGGCCCTTGGGATAATTCCAGCATATAATTCCAGCATGCCTTAAATCCCTTCAATCCAAACTGGCACCTAATACCTGCACAGTGTCAAGGCTCCAACAAACCACCCCCATTCAAATCGTATGTCTCTAGCTGCATCTTCCAGAGTAAAATAAATGATTTATTAGCAGTGACCATGTTGGCGTTACCTGGGTGCAGCTGACTCTAAGACACATCATTCATTTCCCCCTTGACCCTGGTCTTCCCCCCACTCCCTGGATGTATATTCTCCAATAGGACACATCCATAGCCAAGAGTCCTCAATCATGCTCTCCAGTAATAATCTTGCGTGCCAAGAGCTTCGGCTGCCTAGCAATTATCTGAAACATTTAAGGAATGCACTACTTTCCCCACTCCCTTTCTGCTGGCAACTAAGGAAGTATTTTTTAGTTGACACGTAGCACACAGCGAAAGTCAGATATGTGGAAACCTTTCAGAAAAGCTTTAATCCAGGGTGTTCAGTCTTGGCCACTTTTAAGACTTGTGGACTTCAACTCCCAGAGTTCTCCAGCCAGCATGGACCATGGTCGATTCCATTGACCAAGCGTGGCTGATTCTATGACCAACATGCCCTTTTCTTTCTCCTTCCCTCAGCTAAATCTTTACTTCAGAACTTCAAATGCAATTCTGTTTGAATCAGCTCTTCACCCCTCTAACAAACCTAACACAATGTTCATGATTTGGAGATACGTTCAGAAAGGGCAAATTATTTTGGCCCATTCTTAATGGTGCAGTTTTTACAGTTTTGATTGCTTCCTGTTCAAGTGGGAAGGGTGTCCATCTCGAAATATCAACGCCGAGACATCATTCGTGAAGGTGGGACCCCTTTCTTTCAATTTTGGCCAAAGTATTTTGAGGTTGATCTGGCCTCACTGGAAGCATTCCAGGCTGAGAACACTTCTGGTGAGATAGCAATCACAGTAAGACTATTTACAGCCCTCTCCGCGTGATTTACAGAGTCAGCCTGTTGCCCCCAACAATCTGGGTCCTCATTTTATGGACCTTGGAAGGATGGAAGGCTGAGTCCATCCTGAGCTGGTCAAGATCGAACTCCTGGCAGTGGGAAGAGTTAGCTTGCAATACTGCAATCTAACCACTGTGTAACCACTACTTCCTTAGCACTTAGCAATAGTGCTTAGACTTATACACCACTTCACAGCCCACTCTAAGCGGTTTACAAAGTCAGCATATTGCCCTCAACAACCCTCATTTTATGGACCTTGGAAGGATGGAAATCTGAGTCCATCTTGAGCTGGTCAGGATCGAACTCCTAGCAATCAGCAAAATTAGCCTGCAATACTGCATCCTAGCCACTGCGCCACCACGGCTCTGGATGGAAGCAGCCCACGTTGATCTCAAAACATTTCCAGTACAATTTCTCTTCCCCCGTTTCTATTAAATTATCTGAATCAAAAGAGTTTATGCCAGGAGACCAAGAGAGGAAGGGAAAGAGAGGAAAGGACTCACCGGGTGGAATGGACATAATGTGGGCTTCGTACGCGTAGATCTGGTGTTGATGGCATGCTGGATTGGGTGTTCCAATGTGGGAGATTCCTCACTGGGCTGTTCTGAAGGGAGTTGCTTCCTCCACCTTCCACACAACTTCCAGTACTGGGAAACCGCTTGTGACTGGTGCAGACAAAAGACAACGAGGAATTCAAAACACGTCCTTTTATTTTACACACGTAGTATTTTACATGTCCACCATCTCCCATTTACGTACATGGACAACCTTCAGGAAGACAGTAGCAAAGTTTGGGTTTTCCAGATATCATCCCAACAACTGTTACAAGTGTTTTCTCCCCCATAACTCTCTCCAGATGTCTTGAGATGGGAAGTTCCTGATCATCCAAGGGTTACTAGACATTCCAATGAAAGGAATGTGGCCAGCCAAGTAGTCGGGTGGAAGGCGAATTGGTGCATTCACGCCTTAGAATAACATAGCAAAGAGGGTTGAGAGGGACTTTGGAAGTCTTCTAGTCCAACTCTCTTCTCAAGCAAGGAAACCTTTATCCATTCTGGACAGATGGCTGTCCAGTCTCTTCTTGAAAACCTCCAGTGATGGAGCACCCATAACTTCTGGAGGGAAGCTGTTCCACTGGTTAATTGTCCTGTTAAGAAACTTCTTTTTACTTCTATGCTGGATCTGTTCTTTAATGATTTTTCCCACCCATTGCTTCATGTTTATATATAAAATTACCCAGGTTAACTCAAGATCTGTAGAAAGTGGTTACCATCATTGTTTCTTCCAGAGTTAAAAACTCAAGTTATGAAGAATGGTTGCAGGAATTGGGTGTGTCTAGTTTAATGAAAAGAAGGACTAGGGATGACTAATAGCAGTCTTCCAATATCTAAGGGGCTGCCCCCAAGAAGAGGGAGTCAAGCTATTCTCCAAAGCGCCTAAGAGAAGGACAAGGTGCAATGGGTGGAAACTCGTCAAGGATAAAGAACAACCTAGAACTAAGGGGAAACTTCCTAACAGTGAGGACAATTAACCAGTGGAACAGCTTTGCCTTCAGAAATCGTGGGTGCTCCACCACTGGAGGCTTTTAAGAAGAGACTGTCTGAAATGGTATAGGATCTCCTGCTTGAGTGGGGGGCTGGACTAGAAGACCTCCAAGGTCCCTTCCAACTGTGCTATTCTGAGAAATTTATGCAGAAGCTTTACAGAGTGCCCATTGGCACATTAATGCATGACCCTGGAATGTGCTGGCAACCCTTTGCTTTATTTCTACAATAGGGCACTCTAAAGTCCTCCAATGGTGGATGGAAAGCCCACCTCTCCTGCCCTGGACTCACCTGGAGTGGCTGTGAGAAGGACGCTTCTTCACCTTCTCGTAAGGCTCATCCAAGGAAGACTCGCTCCACATCTTGGGCTTAATGGGGGATTTGTCGTAGTCGTTCCGGTGATAGTGCATCTGCCGGAGACCCTCCAGAGATTGGGGAGGGGGAGGCCTGTTGTGCAAGGGGGGGCGAGGAGGGAGCCCTTTGTGAGGTGACTGTAAAGGGGATATTGTGCTGGTAGCCGGGCAGTCTTCTGGAATGGAAGGAGAAGAAGAGTCAGGCAACCAAGGACCGGGATCCATCAAACTGATTTAGCGCTAAAAGTCTACACACAGAAATCTTCTCAATAGCACTCAAAGGGATTTGGGTTTACTTTGTTTGGCTACATAAGGATTCTAGGCTGATGTCTCTCTTGACTCCACCCCCAAGTTCTGCTACATCTTCTCCTACAAGGAGAGAACATTTTTTAAGCCCATCTGAAGTTCATCCCAGCTCTTTAGTTTAATTACTTGACTGCCATTAAGGCACCTTTTTATCGAATGTCAACGTCATGTCACAAGGAGCCTAAGGATATAAATCCCACGAATGAGCAAAGTATGGATGAAAAAGATACATTTAATGGAGTTAGGTTCCTAGGTGGGTCTTGATGCTTGTGGAAACGGACACCCGCTATGCATGAATAAAATACTGACGTAGCATCTTCTGGTTGAACTAAAACAAGCAAGTCATCATTTTGGATCAAAAACTTGACTCCCACCCCAGTGACACCCAAATTAAAGGGTAAAATCTTTTTGAAAAATGACATTATGGGCAAGAAGATCAGCCAATTAAGGTAGGTCGAAAAATTACTTGAAACACAGGGAGTTGGAGTATATTTAAAATGAATCCAGCTCCATAGCCTCTTCCCTATATTTTCATGCTATCCCCAAAACTAAGGAAGACAAATACTAATCCCCCACAAGGGACAAAGTGCCCCCAGACAGGAGATCTGCAGATAAGCTCCTGCCTCACTTCCTATAATCCAGCTCAAGATACAGATCACGCCAAAATGGGTGCGACAGAGAGATCATTGGACCAAAATCATTTAGCCCAAGCACTGATGTATGGTGGTTGGAAACAAAGGTTCTCTCTTTATTCTTTTGATGTGCCGCTGCCTTTTAAAATGGTTTTTGTTTTTGCAATGACAGCATTCTTATCAAATGCAAAAGATGGTAAGTGTTCTGACCCAGCTCCCCAAACACGACAAAACCTCTGACCCGAACTCAAAAGATTCCTTTATTAGGAGCGCCAGCAGCCTCGGCAAAAAATTTCTCTCTCACTGCAGGCTAACAATTCCATCCAGCGAGGAGATGAATACTCGTCTGCCACACCCATTCATCTCCGCCCCCTGCCTTTTATCCCCAGAGCTAGGGCAGGGCTTTGCTAGCAGTGGTGGCTCTTCCGTCCCGAGGACCGGCCCATAGATCTCCACTGCTCTCCTCTCCTCTGCCTTCTGTGCATCTATGCATCAGGCACTGGACCCAGCTGTCCTCCTCTTCCTCATCAGCCACCTCCAGACCTGGGGGCTCTTGACTCTCCATCTGAGGGCTGACGGATGGCCCAGGCTCCGCCTCTGTCTCTCTCTCTCTCTCTCTGACAGCTCCATTCCCTCTTCCCCCTTAGAGCTCCCAGGTTGCCCTAATGCTGACCCTGACTCCTTCACCACCTCCTCCTCCTCCTCCTCCTCTGATTCGGTGACTGGAGGGGCCGGCAGCTGACAGGCCAAAACAATTCGTCTCCAACATTTTTTTTACCTACCGTCTTCCAGAACATGAGCGTCCGAGAGGGAGCTATCTTCACTGGCAATGTTTCCATCTAGGAAGCCAAGAGACCACAGAGGAGATCCAGTCAACAAGGAAGTGGAATCGGCGTTGATACCCCAACAGTCAGATAATGAAAGACGTGCTATCTTTCTCCAGATCCATCCCATTAGCCAAAGGATGGGCAACCTCTAGGTGTTCCGGTACTATAATTCCCAACTGCCCTAGCAAGTCTTGCCAGTGACCAGGGACTCTAGTGGATGTAGGACAGCAAAGATGGAAGGCCACCTGTTTCTCCAGGGTTTCTCCAGCATCCCATTTCTCCTCTACAAATGTTTCCAGGAAATGCATGTAGACGATAATTTGACTACTGCCTCTAAACAATGAAATTCATTGATGATAAACAGCCACTGATTTATCATTAATTTGACTTAAGACCATTCGTTTAGTGACTGTTTGAACTTATGAGGCACTGAAAATGGTTTACTTATGACTAGTTCTCGCTCTTATGACCATTGCAGGGATGCTGCCATCAGATAATCAGAATTTGGATGCTTAGCAACCATGATGGTTGCCACATGACATGGATCATCATTTACAACCTTTCCGGAGGAACCTCTGACAAGCAAAGTCCATGGAGGAACCTGGATTTGTTTAATAACCATGTGGTTCACTTAAAGGCCGTGGTGATTCACTTAAAGAACCGTGGCAAAAGAGGTCTTAGAATCAGGCACGATCATTTAATGGCCACATCACTTGGCAAGGGAAGTTCCAATTGTGGTTGTAAGTCAACGTATTCTTAACAGCTGTGTAAAACAGTGGCTCTTTTAACTGGGGATCTTCAAACAAAATTTCAAAGAGTCCACAACTACGTACCTATTTATCATCAGCATTTGTGGGGGTGTTGTAATCACAACTCCTCTTAGCCCATGTCGCAATTACAACAACTCTTGGTGCAAACCTGATCGGAAACGGTCTTCCACAGACATCTTTCGGTACTGAGGGATGTTTAAGCTCAGTGAAATCCCATTCATGGCTTTGTTTCTCTTATTCCCATTTTTCTTTGGTGGCTGCTCGTGTGAGATTGCAAACCCACAAAAATGCAGACTTGCAATCAGTAATTGCACTGGACCCCTGTTTCCTATTGTTACTTCCCGAATTTAATACTCAGGTGAATAGTTGCAAAGGGGTTGAAGAGGTTCTGGGCCATGAAGATGAGATGGTCCCCTGGTGGACTTAGACAATTCCTACTCTGAGAATCTCCAAACAGGGTTTCTCCATTATTTCTTCAAGCGGCCTACAAGACCCTACAATACCGTGTTTCCCCAAAATTAAGACCCTGTCTTACTTTTTATTTATTTTTTGTCACCAAAAAAGGCACCAGATCTTATTCTCGGGGGAAGTCCTCTACTGACTAACCTTACTTGCGTGCGTCATCCCGGCCTCCTTTTCGTTGTCAGGGGTCTTCAGGAACTTCTTCTTCTGTGGCCGGCAAGGCTTTTCTGAAGGCCCCTGCAGCCAATAACAGCTGATAATTCCAGATCGATCCGGAACTTTGTTATCAGCTCCAGAGGCCTTCAGGAAAGCCTTGCTAACTGCAGAAGAAATGGGCTGGCAAGGCAGGTGTCGAGGTTGCTACAACAGTCCAAAGGTAAGTAGTATGACAGCTCCACCCTCCCATCCTCACCCTAGCTTAATTTTTACCTGTGCACTCAGGTGGGTAGGATCTTAATTAGGGCTTATTTTTGGGGGGTGTAGGGCTTATATTGGGCGCATGTGTAAAAATCAAGCTAGGGCTTACTTTCAGGGTAGGTCGTATTTTGGGGGAAACAGAGTACCAACCTCTAAACCCCATCCCATCTAAAGAAAGTCTCAGGATATCACGGAAGGTCAACTGTCTTTACCATCTATGATCAGTGAAGCTCTTTGGGTTGGCTTCTTCCCCGATCGGACGCGGTACTCATTGATGGAATTTTCAATCTCCTGAAGCTTCTTCAGCGCGTTCAGATAGGAGGTCTTCCTCTGCTTCTTCAGCTTCTTGCTGACATTGGGCTCGCTGGCCAGGCGCCGAGCAGCTTCCGTGATCTGGGACTGGATGGCAAATTCCCTTTCCAAGCGTTCCAGCTCAGCTTCCTGTCCGAGAGGAAAGAAGTTTTAACGGTCAGCGTGTCTCAAGGTGTCTCCATTGGCTTCGTTTCACGGGATTGACATTGGATCAACAGAAACATAGGACTGTCCTCTATCAAGGGAAGTTGAACTTTTCTTTAAACTTCTATCATGTATCGTATAAACGATGTCTAGCTTAATGGAAAGAAGGACTGGGGGTGACATGATAGCAGTGACGGAACCTGGACTGCCATTTGTCAGAAATGGTTTAGGGTCTCCCGCTTGGGCGGGGGATTGGACTAGATGTCCTACAAGGTCCCTTCCAACTCTGAGTATCTGTTATCTGTTCCTACATCTCAAGGATTGCCCCAAAGAAGAGGGAGTCAAGGTATTCTCCAAAGCACCTGAGGGCAGGACAAGAAGCAACTAAGCAAGGAGAGAAGCAACCTAGAACTAAGGAAGAATTTCCTGACAGGTAGAACAATTAACCAGTGGAAGTTGTGGGTGCTCCATCACTGGAGGTTTTCAAGAAGAGTTTGGATAACCATTTGTCTGAAATGGTATAGGGATTTCCACCTTGAGTAAGGGGTTGGACTAGAAGTCCTCCAAGGTCCCTTCCAACTTTGTTATTCTATTCTATTTATTCTATTCTATATTCTATATTCTATATTCTATATTCTACATTCTACATTCTATATTCTATTCCTATTCTATTCCTTTCCCCAATGGATGAAATACAAATAAAAATTGAAAATTAAGGGAAGAAAAAAGAAAGGGGAAAAAAATATGAGGTACAGGGGAAGAAAGAAAAAGGCGTTGACTTGATTTTAGTACGGTACAAGATAACATTACAACCTCAATTTTTTTTTTCTAGCTTCCCCCACCATCCTGTCGGAGCTGAAGAAGCTTCTTGGATGAGAAGTGAAACGTCTTCAAAAGAAAAAACAAGGAAGTCCAGTGGCCTCCTGAAAAAAAAGCACCTTTGAGGGGAAGACCCTATTTTATTCCAGACCTAGAAACTTCCAGCGATGGAGCAATCACAAACTTCTGGAGGGAAGCCCCTCCACCGGTTGATTTGTTCTCACTGGTGGGAAGTTTCTCCTTAGTTCTAAGGTTTTCTTCTCTCCTTGATTAGAGACGAGTGATTGGAGCTTCTCCCCTTGATTGGGAATGATCCCCTCCCCTAATCCCGCTGTGGCTTTTGCACATCAAAGAGATATTTCCTATTTCAATGTATCCACCTGCATCTGAATAGAAGGGCCTGGTTTGACTTCATCCTTCATCAAGGTAATATGGCTGTCCTTGGCTCCTCTCAAAAAGCTCTTTTGATGTTTAGGATGACTCAGCACTGTTTTAAGTCCATAACTACAGCTCTTCCCTTGTTGCGTTTGGCCCAACAGCTATTATTTGTGGGTGCTTAAAAGTTTCGCTTTGAAGATTTTATAATCTCTGTCAACAGCGAGCTGATTAAAAATGCATTTCACACAATACATAAATGCTACAGCCTGTTTTCTCCCTCCCATCCACTCCGACACTTCTGCTTTCCTCCATCCTCCAAAAAAAAACCTCTCCCACATCCACAGAAAGCGAAGGATTTAAAAGCACCGATGGATTAAAAGCACCGCTCAAGCTTTATTATTTTTTTTTTAAAAAAAGTGCACTTGATCTTTGAACTGTGGATGAAGTTCACACCCCAGCTCTAAGAGTCTGAAACTTCTGAAAAGGGCTTTAAGAAGCTTTACAACCGTTGCACGTTCCAAGCAAAGAAAATGTTAAAAAACAAAATCACCAGCCTTATGAGATTCTGCAAGAAGGGATACGAGTTTGTTAGCATCCTACTTACAATCCCAGTTTGAGGTGCAGCTAAAAAAAGGTAATGTTTGTAAGGCTCGTTGCAGGCTGAAGACATCCATCTCACACTCCTTCATGCGTAACAAGGCAATATTTTATTGCCCTGGCATGTGTGTGGTTTATCAAAATTAATTAAAACACACACACACACACACAAACAGAACTGGATCGAATATCTGAAATCTTTAAAAGGCAGGTCTACAATATAAGCATCAACTTCTTTCAAATCTTTATTTAATTGATGTGTGTGTCCAGGAGAACAAGCTCCGACATCCTTAATGCAGCTAGAGACACCTTCAAAAGGAATTCTCCAGCAGACTGAAAATCCAGAACACACTCACAATAGAAGGTGTGATGGTCAGAGACACAGTTCTTTAGGTGCAATTCTTTTAACACAAGCATGTCTCCTAGGGCGTTAAAAAAAATAATCTGCTGTGTGCTCTGCGTAGGTATTGGGAAGGGAAACTGGCTGGTAAATGCCCAGCTCCGTCCAGTCGCCTCAACTTTACTCCAAATTAAGGGATTTACAAGGTCATAAAAAGAGATTTGTTTTAAAAATACCAGCCTGCCATAATCCACCTATCGGTTAGCTCAACTGCTGCATTTTTTTTTCAGAGTTAGGATTATTAAGAACAGCCCAAGTAGAGTGCATAGAAAGAGTCAAATTAAAAGGAAGGCTAAATATCTCGGCAGGTTCTCAGTCATCCAGGTCAGGATTGTCCCAAAGCTGCTTTTCCAAAAGGCAAATGTGGATTTTTTTCCTTTTCTTGAAAAACCCTTCTGAAGAACTGGCAGAAGCTTCTTGGATGAGAAGTGAAATGCTTTCAAGGAAAAGGATAGCCCAAGAAAGTCCAGTTTCCTTTTGGAAAAGCACTTTGGGGACAGTCAAGGGAGGGAGAAGGTTTGCTAAACCCATCTGCTTCAAATCCATCTCCTCCTAACTTCCACCTCGAAAGCCGGACTGGTAGATGGTGAGGCTGGTCCTTCAGCAAACAGCAGGAGGAGGTGAGCAAGTATGGTTTAATGATCGATCCACGGGATCTCTTTTTGGGGTTGGGTTCCATGTCAGTTTGGTCTCCCTCACCAGCCAACATGAACTCATAGCACGGCAATAAATAGATGGACGAAAGAAGGACAGAAAAAGAGGGATGACAGGGTGGCTGGATTTTCCAGAGCCTTGTAGCAACCAAGTATTTGGCCATCGTAGTGCACCGTGGGTCGTTTACCTCTCCCTTGGGTAGCATTTTCTGTTCATCCAGTTTAAAAGAAGTACCAATTCTTCTCCTCACGCTTGGGGGCTCCTCCCCCGGGTTGAGGGGATACTCCCTCGGCAGTTTTCCAGTAAGTTCCTGAAAGCACATAGCAAAGCCAGGAGTTAATTCGCAGGGATCTTTGGGACCCTGCCTCAAATGGATGTAAAACAAGCTTAACAACATTGAATCCATGCTGGCGTTCTGACCCAAACCTAGTTCCGAGAGAGCAAACACAAGACAAAGGCAGCAGTACAACCTTTTAATGTTTCATCTTATGAACCCTGTTCCTTCACAGATAAAAGGCTGCTTCCAACTAATTAGCTTTGACAAGAAAGAGCCTTGCCAAGTTTTTGCCAGGCTGCCAAAAAAGCAACAGATAAGAAATAATTTACAACACAAGAGTCTTCAAATACCAACTGGAATGTCCACGAGGCTGAGTTTCAAAACGTCTTTGCCTTCTGCAAAGTATGTTCATTTCATAGCTGGCTTTTATCTTCTTGAAGGAGGGGCCATTACCTTGCAGCCTTACTCCCGAGTCGCCCATGCTGTTGCAACTGCTCTTTCCTGCAAGCAGCCCTGCACTTGGCACAGGCTCCTCAGAACCTCCTCATCGCTGCTGCCAGCCCCCACAATCTCTGAAGGCAGCAGTCCACTCCCTAATGCTCCTGGCACTTCATCTGAGTCCTCGCTGTCCTCAGCCGTCCGCACCTGCGGCCGGCTAACCACAACAGCTGGGACCTTTCAGGAATCCACCAATGTATTTGCAAAAGAGGGCAAAGAATATGGTGGTAACCTCCCCACCCAGTTGCAAGAGACTGAAGTCATTCCTGGGGTGGGCCAGGGGCCCAAGATGGTGGGTCCAACTGAATGATCAAAGACCCACCCCTTGGTGCTTGACTTAAAAAAAGGGTCTTCAAACTTGGAAAGTTTAAGACTTATGGACTTCCAACTCCCAGAATTCCTGAGCTAATATGACTGGAGGAGGAATTCTGGGAGTTGAAGTCCACAACTCTTAAAGCTGTCAAGTTTGAAGGCCCTTGACTTAAACCCCCAATTTAAAGACCCATGTGAAATCTATCTTCCTTCCTTCCTTCCTTCCTTCCTTCCTTCCTTCCTTCCTTTCTTTCTTTCTTTCTTTCTTTCTTTCTTTCTTTCCTTTCTTTTTCTTTCTTTCTCTTATTTCTTTCTCTCTTTCTTTTCTTCCTTCCTTTCCTTCCTTCCTTTCTCTCTCTTTCTTTCCTTCCCACCCTTCTTCCTTCCTCCTCCTCCTCCCTTCTCTCTTTTCCCCTCTCATGTCTACCCACCTGTCTGTCTGACAAATTTATATGGTTTCATTTAACTCCAGCTCTCCCATTCTTGACTCACTCTTCATCTAAAAATCAATTGCTTGCAGCCCCAGAAATGATGGTTGAGATGTACATACGTCTATAAGTTTACATCTCCTTTGTACTTTAAAAATAATTTATATCTTTCCTAACGTTCTTGGGCATTTGGGGGATAAGTCGCTCGGGTAAAACAATAGCTTCATAAATTTGTCTGCCACGTACTCTTTCATTCAGTGTAAAAACATTGGCTTTGTGTCTGATTTGATCAAGTGCTAAATTCCAAATTACGTTGGCATAGAGCGAGGCTGGGCAGGACCAGAAGCAAAGAGTTGAAAACCAGGCTGGCGTGTTACGAGAACAATACCGAGGTGCCAACCATTCTTCTATGAGAAATGAATCATTTACGAGGGTGCCAAGCTGGGGAATAGAAAGAGGACCAAATAAAACCAATCAGAATACAGCTGGAAGGGACCTTGGAGGTCTTCTAGTCCAACCCCCTGCTCAGGCAAGAAACTTATTTCAGACAAATGGTTGTCCAATCTCTTCATAAAAGCCTCCAGTGATGAAGCACCCACAACTTCTGGTGGCAAGCAGTTCCACTGGTTAACTATCCTCACTGTGAGGAAATTTCTCCTTAATTCCAGGTTGCTTCTCTCCTTGACTAGTTTCCACCCATTGCTTCTTGTCCTGCCTCTTCTGCTGCTTTGGAAAATAAGTTGACCCCCTCTTCTTTGAGGCAACCCCTCAAATATTGGAATAATTGCTATCATGTCACCCCTAAGTTCTTCTCTTGGTTAATCTCGGTTTAAAAACAGTTTATGTCGCCCTCAAAAACCAAATCCATTTCCCACCCCCCAATTGTCGGCAGCAGTCTATATTTCCACTTCTTAAATTTTCTATGCGATGAGGTTATCAAAAAAACAAAACAAAAAAACCACAAAACCCACTGCCCTCCTTCAAGGTCTTAAAATTTGCAAAAAGCCGTCTTCACGTTCCGATTTCAGAAACGCACATGCGAGATGATTTGGGCCGGCTGCAAGTAAATGAATTCGTCTTGAACTTGGTTTTTATTTTTATTTTTTTGGGTGTAAAAAGACACACAGAGGAGAGAAAACAATGCCAGGCTTGTTAGCATCCAGGTTCCTGTAATTTAAGCAGAGCGAGTAACCGAAGGGAAGCCTGCAGAAACTCGATGCTCGGCTGTTGCAAGTAGTTGGAGGGGGGTTGGTTTATAGACTTAATTCCCACAGGAAAATCGATGTCTTTGGAGTGATTTATGGCTGAGTAACAAGAGAGTTTAGAGCGGGATTAGAGGAGGATTAATTTACTTACATGCTTGGGGGGGGGCTGTTTTAAGCAAGAATGTTAAGGCATCCCCCCCTTCTGGTGACCTCTGCTGACCTCTTACACTGTCACACTCTCCAACCCAAGGGGGAATTTAAGGAAAAAAAGAAAAAAGAAAAGAAATGAGCCTATGAGGTTGAACTGGTCAAGCATTTCTTGCTGTCTTCCTTGTTTGTTTTTAATTTCCGTCCATTGACAGGATTTAGGAAATCTTATTTATTTATTTTTATTTTATTTATTTGTTTGCCGAGCATGCACTAGATAACAGATATAAATATAAACATGATACTATGTTTATACTTATGACTATTATTAAGTGTTGTACCTGATGATTCTGGACTCTTGACGAATGTATCTTTTCTTTTCATGCACACTGGCAGCATTTGCACCAAGACAAATTCCTTGTGTGTCCAATCACACTTGGCCAATAAAGAATTCTCTTCTCTTCTCTTCTCTTCTCTTCTCTTCTCTTCTCTTCTCTTCTCTTCTAATTCTTCATTCCAATATCTATTCTATTGTATTCTATTTCTATTCTATTCTGACTATCACTAGGTATTGTATCTTATGATTCTAGATGAATGTATTTTATTTTTTATCTTATGTACACTGAGAGCATTTGCACCAAAGACAGGTTCCTTGTGTGTCCAATCACACTTGGCCAAGAAAGAATTCTATTCTATTCTATTCTATTCTATTCTATTCTATTCTATTCTATTCTATTCTATTCTATTCTATTCTATTTACATGAAATGGATAAGAATAAAAAGGAGACATTAGGACAGGGACGGTAGGCATGTTGGGTGCTTATGCACGCCCCTTGCAGACCTCTTAGGAATGGGGTGAGGTCAACAGTTGATAATTTTACGTACTACGCTTAGGTCAGACAGAAGGCGGCGTAGTTTTAGGTTGTCTAAGCCTAAAATTTCAACTCAGGAGGCATAAGGTGTTCTGTTGCAAGTAGAGGAGTGGAGGACTCTTCTCGTGAAATATCTCTGGACTCTCTCGACTGTGTTAATATCCGATATGCAGTGCGGGTTCCAGACTGATGAGCTGGATTCGAGGATTGGTCTAGCAAAATCAATGGAAAGATCCTGTTGTTGGATAGTTGTTGTGATTTGCCGGTAGCCTGTGCACATGGCAGCAGAATCGGACAGTGGGGAAGAACGGGGACCAGTCCAGGAGTCTGGAGAGGACTCGGACGAGGGTCCTGCGTCCGATGCAGAGATGGGGCCAGGACCATCTGGGAGTGGAGTGCTGCCTCCGGAGCCTCTAGAGTCTGGCAGTAGCGAGGAAGAGGAATAAGGGGAGCTTGTTCCCAGTGCGTGTATGCACAGAGTTTCCAGAAGGCAAGAGCAGCTAAGAAAAAAGGGGCAACTCAGGAGTAAGGCTTGGAGGTGATTGCCTCTCCCATAAGGGATTAAGGACAGGCAAAGGGAGAGAAACCTTTGCAGGAAGCAAAGTTGTTCGCTCTGTTCAGATTAAACCTGGAAGCTCTGTGTGGACTTTGTGCCCCATTTAGCTTTTTATAATTCATTTGGCACTTTAGTTGTTGGCAGCAATTCAAAGGAGAGAAAGGTGGGTGCTTATCTCGAGGGACTGTTTGGGACAGGCTAGGAATGAACATAATTCCCAGCATTGAAATAAAATGAGAGTTGTTTTAACTAAGCGTGTGCTTAATTATGGTCTCAGGAAGCCTTGGTCAGAATAATAGTGTTGTGTTTAAAGGTGCAACGACTTACGTCCGGGTGTCACACTCACGACCATGGCAGCATCCCTGGGTGTGTGTGTCATGTGATCAAAAATTGAGAAGCTTGGCAACTGGCATGTACTTTTGACAGTTGCAGTGTCCTGGGGGTGTGGGGGGGGGGGTTTGTCACGCCACCCCCTTTTTGCGACCTTTGGACATTTCCGATTCACTTAACAACCAGGTGACTAACTTTAACAAATGGTGATTCACTGAACCGCAGTGGCAAGAAAAGGTTGTAAAAACAGGGCAAACCGTCTCGCTCAGCGATGGAAATTTTGGGCTCAAATGGCAGTCGTTAAGGCGAGGACTAACGGGGAACCAGTCATGGAAAATATATGCCGCTCTATCCGTGGAATTTGGAAGGAACAGAGACCGAACAAGATTTTTCAAGAATCAGGTGCTGGCTGATCTATGCTGCTTTTTCCTCTTTTTAGGGGACAAAAATTATGCAAGATGAGACAAATAGATTTCATGTTCACAAGGTAGAAAACTTGCTGAGTTTCCTGCCGAAGCAGGATAGAGGGAAAAATAATTGAAAAAAATATTTGAATGTGCAGAAATGACAAGATTAACATTAGCAATCAAAGAAAAAGAAGAATCTGAATATTAATTACATGGTATGGGACTGTGTTTTATAAATGGCTGGAAAATAAAATTAATTAAAAGGGATTAGACATCATTACAAAGCAATAAGAGAAACTAGTGTAATAGATATACTGTATTTTACTTATGTTATACTGTATATATGGGAATGTGATTATCATTATTATTATTATTATTATTATTATTATTATTATTATTATTATTATTATTATCATCATCATCATTATCATCATCATTATTATTATTATATGGCTATACAGTTAAGAAGAATATTATTAGTAATTGTTAAGCACATGAAATATGTACCTAATCAACACACGATTGAAATTGAATGGATTTATTGCATGTTAAAAAAATTTAAAAATATAATTAAAAAAACAAAAACAAGGTGGAAAACTTTGCCGAGTTTCCTGCCGAAGCAAAATTTAAATCGTCCGGACAATCATTTAAAATAAATACAAACAACCTTTTTAATTACATTGGTCTGCAAGAGTAATAAAATTTAATGACTGCAACTCAGTCAAATGCATATTTAATTATGGATCATCTAACTATTTTTCCATGCCTGTCGGTCCCTTAAGGAGAAAGGTGCGGTATAAATCAGATAAACAAACAAACTGCACACTCATCTGCGCCCAGCGAATAAAAACTGGATCCATTTCAATTAAACTCAGGCCTGCGGTATATTAAAAGAGTCAAATCTGCCCTTTGGCCTTCCTATTTATAGGAGACGAACCAGGCAGGGCCCAGGGGTGTGGTCAAAGGCTTCATTTCCCACACTATTTTTTTAATTGTCTATTTTAACACAACGGGCAAGGCATTCATTCCCGGGCTGATTCGTCCTTCTATCTTCTGGAGAAAAAGGGCTGATTTATTTTATTTTATTCAGATGATTTGATGACAGCCATGGAGAGAATTCAGATAGGATAGCAGCGGTGGGATTCCAATTTTTTTTAATTACAGGTTGTGTGGGTGTGGCTTGGTGGGCGTGGCAGGGGAAGGATATACTGTAAAATCCCCCTTCCCTCCCCCACCCCACTGACCTGCTTTCCAGCTCCGTTCTCCTGGGCAGGGCAACCAAAGGAGACTCAGCCGATCAGCTGGGGCTCGATGGGAGGCAGAGAATAGATGGGGTTGGCGGGGCCAGTCAGAGGTGGGATTGGCCGGTTCTCCAAACTACTCAAAATTTCTGCTACCGGTTCTCTAGAACAGGTCCAAACCGGCCGAAGACCACCTCTGGAGGATAGCCATGATCCTCTGAAAGGATCATGTTGGGCCCAACTAACCTCAAGGGTAGGATTATAAGCATCTCTGCTGCCCCTCCCAACGCTCCCAATACAAGAATGGATGGAAAGCGATGGGAGTTAGCAGAGAGCAAAATTGTCTGCTTTAATTAGAGAAAAGATCCCATCCAGCTTTGCTTCTACTTGGAAACCATTTCTGGACTTTGTGCTTGAGACAGGAAAAAAAAACAACTGACATTGAGTTTTGCTGATTTGTACAGTTGGTTGTTATAGAATTGTTGTAGTATTTGTTAAATTGGTGAAGTTAAAAAATGGAGGTTGTAATTTTATTCTGTGGTTATTATGCTCAAAAAGTTGGATCTTTTCTTTCCTTTTCCTTCCTTTCTTTTCCCCTTCCTCCTTTCCTTTCCTTTCCTCTTCCCTTCCTTTTCCCTTTTCCCTTCTTCCTTTCCTTTCCTTTCCTTTCCATTTCCTTCCTTTCCTTTCCTTTTCCATTCTCCTTTCCTTTTCCCTTCCTCCTTTCCCTTCCTTCCTTTCCTTTCCTTTCCTCTTCCCTTCCTTTTCCCTTTTCCCTTCTTCCTTTCCTTTCCATTTCCTTCCTTTCCTTTCCTTTCCTTTCCTCTTCCCTTCCTCCTTTCCTTTCCTTTCCTCTTCCCTTCCTCCTTTCCTTTCCGTTCCCCTTCCTCATTTCCTTTCCTTTTCCATTCCTCCTTTCCTTTCCCCTTCCTCCTTTCCTTTCCTTTCCTTTCCTTTTCCCTTCCTCCTTTCCTTTCCATTCCATTTCCTTCCTTTCCTTTCCTTTCCCCTTCCTCCTTTCCTTTCCTTTCCTTTCCTCTTCCTCCTTTCCTTTCCTTTCCTTTCCTTTCCTTTCCTTTCCCCTTCCTCCTTTCTCTTCCTCTCCTTCCCTTCCCTTTGCCCCTGCACCTATGCCGCTCTTCCCCTTCCCTATTTCCCCGTCATCCTTATTTTCATAATTCGATTGCGTGAACCACGTGCTTTCAAAGGGAAGCATCTCTGCTGCTTACCGCTTCCCGGAGACACAGCTTCTTCAGTTCCTCCAGGCGTTGGCGCAGCGTCTCCTCCAGGGCTTCTTGTCTGGATTTTAAGGCAGCCAGCATGTCTTTCTTGGCAGACTGAGAACTGTCGGACTCTTGAGAACCTGTTGGGGAACAACGGTGGCGTTAGTGCAGCTGACACACCTCTGCAGCCAGGTGGGATGGCTTTCGGACAACAAAACGGGACAACCAAACTGGAGAGATATTGCATCGACTCGATTGAGCTGTGATGCTGGAGAAAGGGTCTTCTTTGGACAGCAAAGGTGACCAACAAGCCAGCATCAGAGCGTACAACACCAGACGTGTCACTGGGAGGCAAACATCAGAAAAGTCTCACTTACTTTGGCCATGTCATGCAAGGGAATTCACTGGAGAAAGCAATGAGGTTGGGAAGAGTTAGCAATAAAAGGAAACCAGGCCGCCAAAGACCAAGATAGTTGGACACCATCAAAGCTGAAACCGACCAGCGCATAGAACGACTCAAAGAAGCAGTGCAACATCAGAAGATGTGGAGACACCTGGCCCAGAGAAATGGCCAAGATTCGGCACGACTGAAACTTGGCATGGCAACTGAAACCTGGGTCTGTCTAAACTAGTGAAGGACCAGGGGGGACAGGAGAGCAGTCTTCCAATATTTGAGGGGCTGCCACAGAGAGGAGGAAGGGGGTCAAGCTATTTTCTAAAGCGCCTTTGGCCAGATGAGGAATAACGGGTGGAAAACTGATCAAGGAGAGATTCAACCTAGAAATAAGGAGGAATTTTCTGACAGTGAGGACCATCAACCTGTGGAGGAGCTTGTGGCAGCTTCCTCACTTGAGACTTTCAAGAAGAGATTGGACTCCCATCTGTCAGAAATGGTGTAAGGTCTCCTGCTTGGGCAGGGGGCTGGACTAGAAGACCTCCAAGGTCCCTTCCAGATCTATTCTGATATCATCATCATCATCATCATCATCGAGAAACTTCCTAACAGTGAGAACAAATAACCAGTGGGACAGCTTGCCTTTCAGAAGCTGTGGCTGCTGCATCACTGGAGGTTTTTAAGAAGAGATTGCACAGCCACTTGTCTGGAATAGTAGACAGTCTCCTGCTTGAGCAGTGGGCTGGACTAGAAGACCTCACAGGTCCCTTCCAGCTCTGTTCTGATCGATTGCTCACAAGCGTCCATGTCCCTTGACTCAAACTGGGTTTACAGTAGCAATCTGTGTCTATCACACCCCCCATTGCAATAACCGAAACAGGCCTTGTGTGCAAGTTGCATTTCCATGATTAGGGAGACCGTGGAGTATAGGAGTATACGTCTTGGATGTGGTACACATGGAAAACAAACCAGCACCTTCCAAGCATTCCCACAACCAACAGGAATGTGAGCATCCTGAAGGAGGCTAGATGTGCATTCCCCGACGTAAAAACGTTTTGTTTTTAGCAAAACACAGGAAAATTCCACAACTGAGATAGCAGTGCTTCTGCCAAGCTCAAAATAGGAAACAGGAAAACTGGAAGTCCATCAGGGACTTCCATCCAGGAAGGTCAGAATTCAGCAATATGGAGTTGTGATCCTTTGACATCAAAAAGTTTTGCAACTCTCTGCCAAACTGACATCATCAAGGCCCGGACGGGTTTTCAGCTCTAACTATATGTCTTTGCTAGTCTCTTACTCACAGCCTCGCCATCTTCCCACGCCGTGTTCAGAAATTATTAATTTACGTTGGATTTCTTCAGGGTTCCCTAATAGCAGGATTTCAAATTAAAACACCCACACAAGTTGACAAGGGTTTGACAATGTTGTAATGCTGAAGGGAAGGCATCTTTTTGTCCTACAAAGGTGCAGTAGGAGTGTGACAGCATGACGAAAGGGGACTCACATACACACACAAACACACAAATCGATGGGTGTAGGCATTTACAAAATGTGATCTGTCAGTTCATTCTCTAAAGTGCTATTTTTCAATCCTGGCAACTTTAAGATGAATGGATTTCAATTCCCAGAATTCCCCAGCTGGCTGGGGAATTCTGGGAATTGACGTTCCACACATCTTAAAGTTGCCAAGGTTGAGAACATATTGCTTTAACTTCCGTACTGGCCCCACCACCCATTGCCTCAATGTTTAAACATCTGAATGCATTCCTGAATAAATTTGAGCTATTGCTGTGTCTGCCTTTAAAAAAAACTTTTTTAGGGATGGTTAAATGGAAAACATACAGTATTCACTCTGGAAAACAAATGATGCTTCACGATAGTAGCATGATTTGTAAAATGACAGCTTTCCGAGATTCGAAAAGGGATAGACAGGAGAAGCTGATGATCAAACCTTCTGTTCATATTCTGCCATAAAATACACAGAATAATCTATATATTTGTTGTAATAGTTTTGATTTATTGAAAGATATCATTTATCAACTGGTTTGCAGCCTATCATATGAGGACCAGGTACATTTAGAAATGGATAGATAGATAGACTGATGGATGGATGGATGGATGATGCATGATAGAAGATAGATAGAGATAGATAGATAGATAGATATATGATGCATGATAGAAGATAGATCAATAGAGATAGATGATAGATAGAAGATA